GATAAACGTTAAGTGATTGCATATTTTATTAAGTGGCTAGATCATAATTTATTTACCATTCTTCTAATGTTAGCTACACTTAAGCTGACGGTAATTCCTTATTAATATAAATAATGCTATGGTTAAGAGCTTTGTGCACAAAGCCTTTCCAGGATTTTTTTCTTTTAAAAGATAGTCCTTGCCCTAGCCGGTGTGCTCAGTGGTTGGAGCATCAGACTATGCACCAAAGGCCGTGGGTTCGATTCCCCGTCAAGGGCATCCACCTGGGTTGCAGGTTTGCTCCCTGCCCGTAGTCGGAGTGTGTGCAGGAGGCAACCAGTCGATATGTTTCTCTCACATCAGTGTTTCTCTCTGTGTCTTTCTCCCCTCTCCCTCCTTCCCTTCCACTTTCTCTGGAAAGCAATGGAAAAAATATCCTCAGGTGAGGATAACAAAAAAAAAAAAAAAATGATGCAGTCCTAGAAGTGGAATTATGAGATGAAGACATATCAAAAAATGTTAAGGCTCTAAAAAAGGTGTTATCGTTCCTTTTATTAATTACAATAACATCAACAATAGTAATAATTGAATGTCATCTTAACATTTTACCATCACAGGGTCAGAACACTAGAGGATCAATATGAAGAACTGTCCTTTATTGATTATATACTTGAAAATGTCCTAGAAACCACAGTCTCTCTGACCTAAGGAGCTATCTAAATGGAAAAAGGAGAAAAGGCAAGTAAAGTATGAGACAGAAAAAGCCTGAGAATCTTTTTAGCCTGAGGTAGCAGGACAGTATTTATACCCTGACCCTGAGCAGCCAATCAAGCAGCACTGTTATCTTTTCAGAAAAGGAATCACTAAGGAACAAAGAGAGGCGCAGATTTAGAAAACTTTTAGCAGCGAGATTATAAGACACACTACATTTCAGCAGAGAAAAAATATATATATAAAGTTTTAGAATTTAAAAAATGTGTTTACTTCCTACTTCAAAGAGAAGGCACTTTAAAAAAAAAAATACAAACTGCACAAAGATCCATAGAATCCACTCAAGAACACCACCACTTACCAGTTCTCTCAGAGCTGACCTTCCAAGCAGAATTGTCCACAGTTCTCTGCTGCTCCTGAAAAAGGACAGAAAGCAGACTGAACTAAGCTATCTCACAGCTATTTTTTTTTCTCACAGCTATTTTATCTATTCTCTAAAGCAAAAAGCTCAATGAACAAAACAACTTGTTAGTATTTTGGACAGTAATCCTATTATATTCTTAGAAGTTTGATGTTCAAAATAAAAATTAAAAAACTAAAATAGAGTCCTAGTTGGTTTGGCTCAGTGGATAGAGCGTCAGCCTGTGGACTGAAGGGTCCCAGGTTGGATTCCCAGCAAGAACACATGTCCTGGTTGCGGGCTCAATCCCCAGTAAGGGGCGTGCAAGAGGCAGCCGATCAATGATTTTCTATCATCATTGATGTTTCTATCTCTCCCTCTCCCTTCCTCTCTGAAATTAATACAAATATTTTTTTAAAAAAAGAAAATTAGTATTTGATCATAACAAGAATCAACACTTATTAAGCAGTTGTAATTGTCAGGCACTGAACACCTTGTCTTATTGAATATGGACAACTTATGAGGCAGATACTGTTATTATCCCCATTATTTCATCCGAAAACTAAGGTTTAAGAGTGGTTAAATAAGTTGCCTAACATCACAAAGCCAATACATAATGGAGCCAGAGCTTGAACCCAGGTTTGCACAACTCCAGAGTTGACTCATTGCATTACACTGCTTCAAGGTGCACCAAAGAACTCATCCTACAAGCAAAGACTGAGGTGAAGCTTTCTGTTCTACAGTGGCATACCATACCCATAATACAGGGCTGGCACATAGGAGAGGCTCAAAAATACATGCTGACGAATGACTATCAAAGGAGGAAAAGACCCTTTTAGACCTATAATCTAATTGGAAGAGGAAAATTAGAAAAAACAAGTATCTGCAGAAGTGCCAAGAGAAGGCAGAATAAAAGAGAAAATGGTAGTTTAACAGGAAGGGAATCCTTGTGGAAATGAATGTTACTGGCTCCTCAATTCCTACACATTTACTGGTCTAGGAATAATGGGAATAAATCTAGAACTTCATGATGCTCATACACTTAGTATTCGGATTGACAAAGGATGTTAAGCACACATGACACTATCAGCAAGTAATGAAGAGCTAAATCCTAACAAACACTCCAAAGGAATATAATCTTCTAAGACAAAAAGAGTCAGAGGAGAGAAAGATCACTGGGAACTGAGCCAACGACTAGTGAGAGACTTCACCTCAAATAGGGACTTGAAGGTTTAAGCAGGGTGACTCTCAGGACACAAGACATGGCTGGAACTGTGACATCCAAGCCAAAACTCAGGGAAGCATCTTCCATATATATTTTCATAAACAAAATATGTGCTATCATGTCTCATTTATTTACAGAAATATATTTGAGCTAAGTATCTGTAGGAGAAACTAAGGAACCGAAATCAAATAACTTGCCTGAAGGGTAAAGTTAAAAATTTTATTGACTTCCAGGCCAATGTTCTAGCAGACACCATGGAACTCCATTCCTAAATGAGCCGGAGTCCACGGAAACGGGACATTCTCTTCCTTAGAGAGGTCCCGGTCCCTGGAAAACTGGGTGAACGCTGCTGGGGGGTTAGGAATAATAGTCTCTACAGCTGCGCCTTTAGGTGGAAAGCTGAGGTACAGCCCACCCACTGAGGAGCTTTTTTTAAAAAATATATTTTATTGATTTTTTACAGAGAGGAAGGGAGAGGGATAGTTAGAAACATCGATGAGAGAGAAACATCGATCAGCTGCCTCCTGCACACCCCCTACCGGGGATGTGCCTGCAACCAAGGTACATGCCCTTGACTGGAATCGAACCCGGGACCCCTCAGTCCGCAGGCCGACGCTCTATCCACTGAGCCAAACCGGTTAGGGCTGAGGAGCTCTTTTAAGAAAGTTATTTCCACATGAAGACAATAAACAAAAGTGGTCACTGCTTGCCTGGCCTGCATTTCTCAGTGGTTAGAGCATTGGCGGAGCACCAAAGCGTCCAGGGTTCGATTCCTGGTCAAGGGCATGTACCTGGCGTGCAGGTCGGGGCGCATGCAGGGGGCAACCAAGCAATGTTTCTCCTCCCCCCTTCCCTTCCACTCTCTCAAAAAAAAAAAAAAAAAATCAATGGGAAAAATATCCTCAGGTGAGGATTAACAACAAAAAAGAAAGTGGTCCCTGCCCAGGGATACTCCGACTCCACAGAGGAGGTTCATCGCTCTTGCATGACTTAAGCAGAAAGCTTTCACACCACCATCTTTTTTAGCACAGGTACACCATTCCGTCGTCTATAAACACATTAACTGAAGAACACGGGAAATACCAAAAACGCCAATATTCAAAGGGAGTTTCTGCCAAACCCCGACCGAGCTTCCCGGAGCCAGACTGCTCCGGGAGTGTCCCCTGTCCGACTCCGGCCACCCGCATGGACCACGCACTGGCTTCCGGCGCTCAGCCACCGCGGGGCTGTCCAGAGGACTCGCACCTGGGGAGACACCAGGCTGGCTGTCCGCAGGCACCGGGGCGGGAGATTAAAAGGGTTTTGGTCGCGACCCGTAGGCCTGGCACAGACGGGTGCTGCGCCGCCGCCACGGCCGCCACGGGCCTCGCGCACAAAGGAAGAGGTCTCCTGAGCCGGCCGCGAGCAGAGCAGCGTCTCCAGCCCGCGGGTCATGTCTTCGCCTTCAGGTACGAGTCCGGCAGGGCTGCCAGGACGATCAAAGCATTTCCCACGCAGACCCACGCGGCTCTTCCATTCCAGAACGCGCCTCGCCCTGCGGGAGCTAGACGGCACCCAAGCGCCACAGTGACCACGACGCCGCCTGTGGCTAAGAGCTGACGGGAAGCAGCTGAGGAGGGCAAAGCCCACGGGTCCGCACGGCCCAGCAGGCCCGGGGCCGGCCGGTGCGGGAGGCGGGTCAGAGAGGGTGGTCGGTCCCGAATAGGTACCATAGGTACCGAGAGCCTGCCGCCTGCCCTCCTGGGGGGTAAGGGCACCGCGGGCAGGAGAAAGGCAGGGACGGCGCTGGCCGGGGCAGTGCTCTGAGGAGGGCGGGAGGGAGCACGGAGGCCTGCACGCTGCACCGCGGGGACGGGGCGGGAGCCCCCACGTTCCGGTCCAGAGCGGGATGTGAGTCAGCTGTCAGTCAGCAGCGCCTCACGGAGCGGCGGGAACTCGGAGCGCACGGAACGCGCCTCCCGCAAGAACGGTTTCTTTTCCCGGTTCCATCTTCCCGTCCCAGAGCCCAGCGCGGTGCCCGGCACCTCGTGGGGGAGCTGGGCTGGTCGGCTGACGGAACCGCCGCCGGAGAACATGTCTGGACGGATGAATGGAAGGCTGCGCGGGGAGAGAGGGCAGTAACGGCAGGGGTGGCGCGGCGCCACGCGAGGCACCGGGGAACCGGGGAGCGTCGCCAGGGTCGCGAACGGGGGCTGCCCCGTGCGACCGCGGAGCGTCACGCCGGACGAGGAAGCGCGGCGGAGAGGTGGAGGGGGCCGAGGGACGCGCCCTTGGGGAGAGGGAAGGAAGGGAGAGGGATGGGTGAGGAGCCCGGGGGCCGGCGCCGAGGGGAGGGCTGCGGCACCGGCCCCTCCTCGGAGAAGTCGCCTCAGATCCCCGCGCGCGGGGACCGTTTGGACGTGACCGCCTCCCGCCTCGGCGCCCATTCACCTGGCCGGGCTTCGCCCCGCTAGCGCCGCCACATCCCGCTCCCCACTCCTGCCCCGTTTCCACTCGGCCTCGAGCCCACGCCTCACAGCCGCCCCGGCCGAATCGGCCCGCTCCGCACCTCACACACAGCTCGCCGGCGGCAGCCGCCATCTTCGCGCGCCCGCGCGCGCACCCGCCCCGCCCCCAAGCGCCGTGCCCACGTGACCACTCGCCTCCCAACGGGCGCGTGGACGGGGCTTTGCGTCACGTGACAGCGGGGCGGAGCCAAGATGGCGACTCCGAGGGAGGTTAAGATCGCGCGGCTAAGGCACCCGAGGCTGTGATGAAGGCAGCGGAGTGGCAGCTTCTGCGCAGTAGGTGGGAGATGGTGGCGGGGGACCGGGCAGCAGCCCCCAGGCGTCAGAGGACGCCCGACAGTGGAGCTTGCGTCCTCGCGGCTGGAGAACGAAGAGAGAAGGTGCCGGCCGCGTGAAGCTGCGGCTCTCCGCCTGGCAGGGCTTGAGGGGCTCAAAGTCCAAGGCGTCGCTAGTCACCCCGGTGTGTCCGGGTCCCCGGTCTAGAGACATGACCCGACAGCGCGCCCCGCGGGCCCCGGGGCCGGGAGCGCCGCTGAGCGGGTCGTTGCTGGCCGAGGCGGCGGTGGTGTTCGCCGTGGTGCTGAGCATTCACGCGGCGGTGATGGACCGGTACTCGTGGTGCGCCGTGGCCCTCGCGGTGCAGGCCTTCTACGTCCAGTACAAGTGGGACCGGCTGCTGCAGCAGGGGAGCGCCGTCTTCCAGTTCCGAATGTCCGCCAACAGCGGCCTGCTGCCCGCGGCGATGGTCATGCCTTTGCTCGGACTGGTCATGAAGGAACGCTGCCAGGCCGCCGGGAACCCCTACTTCGAGCGCTTTGGCATCGTGGTGGCGGCCACCGGCATGGCCGTGGCCCTCTTCTCGTCGGTGTTGGCCCTGGGCATCACTCGCCCGGTGCCCACCAACACGTGTGTCATCGCGGGCTTGGCCGGCTGTGTCATCACGTATATCATGAAGCACTCGCTGCGGGTGGGCGAGGTCATCGAGGTCCTGGAGGTCCTTTTGATCTTCGTCTACCTCAACATGATCCTGCTGTACCTGCTCCCCCGCTGCTTCACTCCCGGGGAGGCGCTGCTGGTGTTGGGGGGCATCAGCTTCCTGCTCAACCAGCTCATCAAGCGCTCCCTGACCGTGGTGGAAAGCCAGGGCGACCCGGTGGACTTCCTCCTGCTGGTGGCAGTGACGGGGATGGTCCTCATGGGCATCATCTTCAGCGCCCTCTTTGTCTTCATGGACTCGGGGACCTGGGCCTCCTCCATCTTCTTCCACCTGATGACCTGTGTGCTGGGGCTCGGCGTGGCCCTGCCCTGGCTCTATCGGCTCATCCGGAGGAACCCCCTGTTCTGGCTTTTTGAATTCCTCTTCCAGACAGAAACCCGCCTCTACCTCCTAGCCTACTGGTCTCTGCTGGCCGCCTTTGCCTGCCTGGTGGTCGTGTACCAGAATGCCAAGCGGTCATCTTCCGAATCCAAGAAGCACCAGGCCCCCACCATTACCCGGAAATATTTCCACTTCATTGTGGTCGCCACCTACGTCCCAGGTATCATCTTTGACCGACCACTGCTCCACGTGGCCGCCACTGTGTGTCTGGCAGTCTTCATCTTTCTAGAGTATGTGCGCTATTTCCGCATTCGGCCCCTGGGCCACACTCTGCGCAGCCTCCTCTCCCTCTTCCTGGATGAACGGGACAGCGGACCGCTCATCCTGACACACATCTACCTACTCCTGGGCATGTCTCTTCCCATTTGGCTGATCCCCAGGCCCTGTACACAGAAGGGTAGCCTGGGAGGAGCGAGAGCCCTAGTCCCCTATGCCGGCGTCCTGGCTGTGGGTGTGGGTGACACTGTGGCCTCCATCTTTGGCAGCACCATAGGGGAAATCCGCTGGCCCGGAACCAAAAAGACTTTCGAGGGGACCATGACATCTATATTTGCCCAGATCATTTCTGTAGCTCTCATCTTAATCTTTGACAGTGAAGTGGACATAAACCACAGTTATGCTTGGATTTTGGGGTCCATCAGCACAGTGTCCCTCCTAGAAGCATACACTACGCAGATAGACAATCTCCTTTTGCCGCTCTATCTCCTGATATTGCTGATGGCCTAGCTGTTGTGCAGCAGCAATGAAGGAAATAGGGACATGGAGAGAACAAATGGTCCCCACAGCGGCCAGCCACTTGGGCATAAAGAAGCAAGGGGTGAGAAGCAGATTTGATTTTTCAGTTGATTCAGATTCAAAATAAAAATTAAAGCTCTCCTGGTTTTAGTGTTGCTGATATTAAAAAGCAAAAGGACAGCCCAGCTGGTGCAGTTCAGTGGTTGAGCGTCGACCTATGAACCAGGAGGTCACAGTTTGATTCCCGGTCAGGGCACATGCCCAGGTTGTGGACTTGATCCCCAGTGGGGGGTGTGCAGGAGGTAGCTGATCAATGATTCTCTATCATCATTGATGTTTCTATCTCTCTCTCGAAATCAAAATATATTTAAAAAAAAAAAAGACTTAAAGGATGGTGCAACGACTCAACTTCAGTGTGCTATGGGTCCCTGCCTCTCATCTTGCAATCCTCAGAGGGGGCGGGAGTGGACACTGGAGGCCATATTGCATAATGGTTAACACTTCAGGCTCTCTGTCAAACTAAACCGGTCAATCCTTGGCTGTACCACTTCTTTTTTTAAAAATAGATTATTTCAGAGAGGAAGGAAGAGGGAGAGAGAGATAGAAACATCAATGATGAGAGAGAACCATTGATCAGCTGCCTCTAGCACACGCCCTACTGGGTTTTGAGCTCGCAACCCGGGCATGTGCCCTGACAGGGAATCGAACCTGGGACCCTTCAGTCTGCAGGCCAACGCTCTATCCACTGAGCCAAACTGGCCAAGGCAGCTGTACCACTTCTTAACTGTGTGACTGGCTTTACCATTCTGTGTGAATGACCCACATCCCAGGTGGTTCAGGGTTCGTGCTCTGGAGAAGGGCCGCTCGCGCAAATGACAGAGTCGAGACAAGAAATAATAATTTGGAAATTGGGGGGCCAGGCGGGAGCCCAATGCAAGAGGAAGGACTCCGCTTGTGCTCAGGCCTTGCCATCCTTTAATTCAGTTTGGGATACACCTATAGCCCTTAAGCAAGTTCCAGTAACAGGCAGACTATCTTATCAATAAGGATTTACATGACTGGTGGGGAAGTTGCTTCAGCTACCATGGTCGGTGCATAGCTCTGCCCTTTGCCAGGACTCAAGGGACACCAGCATTTCGGGCTCCTTGTCCACACCTCTCTGCTAGTGAAGACAAAAGGCGGCTTCCCACAATTCTGGGCCTCAGTTCTCTGCAAGATGGGAATAAGCCTGCACCTCACAGAGTGCTGTGAGGATCTGATGAGGTGAGGTGTGTATAGTGTCCAGCCCGGGCCCACACATCACAAGCAATCAGTAGGGAAAGTGTCATCCTTACGCAAGGCCAGTCCTCTCGGCAAGCCAGTGGCTGTACTTCTGTTGGTTATACTTGGAGACCAGAGTGACCTTGGCTTTATTTGGAGAAGAACCCAAGAGGAAAATAGCCAAATGCATGTGGTTCCTCCCGTGTGGGCTAGGAAGAGCTTATGAGGAAGGGCTGGGGGAAGAGGAGCAACTTCTCCCCACTTTCACCCGCCTGGCAGGGAGGGGCCAGCAGGAAGAGGAGAGAACTTGGGCCCAGTAAGGCCAGAAGCCAGGAGGGAGCTCTGGGGAGCTCGTGGGATTACTGCCACGTCCTTTCCCTCAGAGAAGTATTGAGACATTCCTCTGGGGCTCGAAGAGGACAAACCCTTCCCTTCTCTCAGACTCCCTTCTGCTGGCCCAGGAGGTGGCCACATGGCGGGGAAGAGCAGCGGCTTCGCCTCGCCTCCTTGTGGTCTTGGGAAAGGGCTCTGTCCTTCGTGCCTTGGCGTGTCCATGCATACAGCGGGGGCTGGAAACAAGCTCACAAACCCATACGGCCGCTGAGGCCAGGCAGGGAACGCAGTGACGGAGGACGGGAAGTGGGGTGCAGAGAGCACACGCGCCTCTAAGGCTCAGCCAGTTGTCAGCACGCTAGACCACTGGCCCAGTGCTGTTGACCTGTTCTTTCAAGGAAGCTTGGCAATCTTACTGTTTTGTGAAATGGCTCAATTTAAAAAGATGTTTATAAAAATGCCAAGGTGCCCTACCTGGTTTGGCTCAGTGGATAGAGCAGCCTGGGGATTGGAGGGTCCCGGGTTTGATTCCAGTCAAGGGCACATGCCCGGGTTTCAGGCTCTATCCCCAGTAGGGGGTGTGCAGGAGGCAGCTGATCAATGAGTCCCTCTCATCATTGATGTTTCTCTCTCTACCCCTCTCCCTTCCTCTCTGAAATAAATAAACAATATTTTTTAATATAAATAAAAATGCCAAGGCCCAGACAAAACACAACTGTGGTCTGCCATCAGCTAGTAGCCCCTGATTTGCAATCTCCAGGCCAGACCCCAGCTAAACAGGATCTGGATTTGGTAGTTGTTCCTGCAAAAGGTCTGGGCGCCTGCCAGCCAATCCCAAGCAGAAGGGCCAGAGAGGGGAAGGGCCTGGCCAGAGAGAGGAAGGGCCTGGCCTGAGGTTAAGAAGGTATTTAGTCACAGAGCCAGGACCAGAATCTGGGACTAGTTTCCCAGCCCTGGTAGTCTCTCCTCCCCCCCACCCCCCCGCAGCCCCACCCCCCACCCCCCACAGGTGAGGAGCACAGGCTGTGGGTCAGGCTGAGCTCCTGAACAACTGAACAGCTGTGTGACCTGCACAGGTCACTTACCCTGTGAACGTGGATGGTAAGAGCACCTGCCTCTAAGGTCCATCGGGGTGAGGACTCAGTGAGACGCAGCAGGTGAGCTCTTGGCACAGCGAGCGAGTGCCCACGAAATGTGAGTTGTTAGGGAATCACAGGCCTCACCAGCAGGGCTGGGATGCCTGGCATGGTTTACAGCAGGGCCCTCATTTTGACAACATGTCCGCTGGGGAAAGAAGGGTCGAGAAGCCGCATTGGGAAGTCATTTTTATTCAGTGCCTTGCGCTGTAATAGTGTTCTGTCTGAGGGGAGAAGAGGAAGAAGCTGGCAGAGGCTGCCTCTAGAGCAGTGGTTCTCATCCTTCCTAATGCCGTGACCCTTTAATATAGTTCCTCATGTTGTGGTGACCCCCAATTTCATGGTTACAAATTGAACATAATTAAAACATAGTGATTAATCACAAAAACAATATGTAATTATATATGTGTTTTCTGATGGTCTTAGGCGACCCCTGTGAAAGGGTCGTTCGACTGCCAAAGGGGTCGCGACCCACAGGTTGAGAACCACTGCTCTAGAGGGCGCTTGTGTCCGGGCAGCGGGGAGGTTCCTGCTGCCCGGCTGCCACCTCTTGCCTGCCTGTCTGCAGGGCCAAGGGGCACAGACACTGGCGGAAGGAAAGTTCAGGAGGAGAGAGGTGACTGCCCCGCTGCAGCTGGGCGGTCGGCAGGTGCTGGTGTTTGCAGCCACAGCTTCCGGGGAGGGGACCGTGCCCAGGCCTGCGGAGCCTTTAGGTGTACAGTGGGGGGAAGGGCAGCTCAGCTGTTGGCTGGAGCCTGCAGGAGACAGAGGAGATGACCTCGAGATGTCAGTATCACCGCTCCCCCCAGCCTCCAGGACCTCTTTGGGGGACTGGGGCACACCCTCCCTGCCACCTACCAGTTCTCCGGGCTCCAGGTGGTGCCAGAGGCCTCCATGAGGTGGAAAGTGTAGGCATGGCGCGAGCGGTCAGAGAGGTTTGCCTCGCTCTTGTGCACCACTTCTCCGTGGATTAGGATCAGGGCCCCTGGCAGGGACACAGCAGGTCAAGAAGGGACACGGGCCCTGCAAGGCTCGAGCAGTTCTGTGGCCTGTTCACCTCCCCATCCATTCTCATCATGAGGGCCTGCAGCCTGCCCTGGGATCTGAGGCTGTGCTGTGGGACATGGGTTCCCCGGGATCCGGTCCCTTCTGCGGGGCCTGTGCCCTTGGCCAACTTTCGCAAGGGCATCCTTCTGTGGTGTTTGCAGAACCAGGCAGAGCTGGGCTGGTCAGCTGGGATCAGGCCAGTGAGGGCTGAGTTGGACTTCAGTTCTCCCTTTTCCAAAAGGAAGAGGGGCACTAGGAGCTGGCATCTGGAGCACTTGCTGGGTACTACACAGGTTCTGTGTGACATCTTCCAGCTTCCCCACTTTCCATCTGGAGAAACTGAGGCTCTGGGAGATTCGGTCATTTGCCCAAAACGCCCAGAAATAGCAGAACCTGGAGTCTTGTCTGATCAGGAGACTTGGTGTTAATCCCACTGCTTCCCGGCTTCCCAGTACCCAGTGACCTCTCATTCTGTGACTTCACAGCACTCTGGTGAGTGGGGGCTCAGAGCCAGCAGAGACCCACGGGCAAGGCCGCAGGGCCCTGCCTTCCTGCCCCCTGCGTACCGCCTACCTCTCTGCACTGGCGTAGGCACAAAGAGGCTGTCATCCCGGGCTGGCTCCGACCCCAGGAAGCTGAGGCCAGACACCGAGCCAGCAGGAGCCCGGACCATCCTTCTCTCCACGCCACCTGCAGACCAAGATGGAGCCTTTGGTCTTTCTTTTTCCCGGGTCCTTCTCCCGTGGCGGGTGGAGTATGAGTGGGTGGGGAGACAGGTGTCCTTACTGGTGTGCGAGCCAGGGATGAACCACAGGCAGCCGTTCTCCAGCGTGGCGTCCTCCAGCGCGATCCACACGCCCAGCACCCGGCCCAGGGGCTCCGTGTACAGGAAGGTGGCGTCCTGGTGAGAGGAGGCTGCAGCAGGCCCACGGGGGCATGAGGAGCTGGGCCCACTCGCCTTGGGCTTTTTTCTCCAGCCCCCATCCTCTCCGAGCCCTCCAGGCCCAGCCTTCCCAGAATCAGTTAGAATTTTGCCACTTCCTGGCCTGGAGACTCAGAACAAGAGATTTCACCTCTCAAAGCTTCCATTTCCTAAACTGTAAAGTGGTCCCAACACTAACAGACCTCATGGGATTGCTGGAGGATTTCATGATGTGTGAAAAGTGCTGATACTGACTTGTAATTACTTGCTAAAAAGTAGCTGCTAAGTGGAGGTGGAAGAGGGGATAAATGGTGATGGGAAAAAAAATAAAAAGCAGCTGCTATTGCCCTAGCTGGTTTTGCTCAGTAGATAGAGCGTTGGCCCGCAGACTGAAGGACCCCAGGTTCGATTCCAGCCAAGGGCACATACCTTGGTTGCAGGCTTGATCCCTGGCCAGGGTTGCAGGCTGTCTCTAGAGCAGTGGTTCAGGAGCTCAGCCTGACCCCTGTGGGGGGCAACCAATCATGTCTCTCTCTCACATCAATGTTTCTCTCTCTGTCTCTCCCCCTCTCTCTTCCACTCTCTCTAAAAATCAATGGAAAAATATCCTCGGGTGAGGATTGACAAAAAATAAAAAAGTAGCTGCTATTTAACTCCAGCCCGGTAACTAAGGCCACTGTCCTTAACCAGGGACAAGCACCTCCAGTCACCGACGATTCACCCAGTGGTGGAAGTCTGGGGAGTTAAGCACTAAGTGTGGGGGGCGGGGCAGGGGGGCGGGGGCAACAGCGTCCATAAGTACCCCTCCCCGGTGCTGGGGCTCAGTCAGGATGGGGACCACTGACCAAAGGGCCTTTGTCTTGGTAACAGCCAGGTGAAGCAGTACTAGTCTCTCCTCTTCCTTCCTGGGGAACTGTGATTTCTGAGCACCAAACTGTAAGGGGGACATTGACAATCCAGACAATGTCAAGAGAACGGTGTCCTAATGGGGCCGTCCCAAAACACTTGGAGAAGGAATGGCTGAAGGAAATGGGGGTGCTGGACTTGGGGAGGGGATGGCCATCGTCAGACACAGTCCTCTGACCGAATGGAGGAGCTGGTCACCAGGAGGCCGGCTTGAGCTCATTAAGAAAGGAAGGGGCTGCCTGAGTCGGGGGGCTCCCCGTCACAGGAGGTATGTGAGCAGAAGTGGATGACCGCCCACAAGGGAGGCCATAAAGGGTATCTGTGCATCCAGGGGGGTTGGAATTAATCCGTTTCTATGCTGAGTCAGTACTCCAGGGAATTTGTTAAGAACACAGGATTCCCAGGCCCTGGCAGCCCTACTGACTCATGATCTCAGGGAAAGGGGCCCGGGAATCTGTATTTTAACCAGATAGGAGTGCGTTCAGGTTCGGGAGCCACTGTGCCAGGGCTCCAGGATGCCCCCCCCCCCCGCCCCCCATCCACTGTTCCAGGAAGGACCGGAAGGCGGCTTCTCTTCCCTGGCCCACAGACATCGAGGCAAGCGCCTTCCCGCCCTCGGAAGACCCAGCAACCACCAACATCCCAGATCTCCCGCCATGGCCTCTGCTGGGCATCCAGCCCGCTCTGGGCTCACCTTCGCCGCCAATGTGAGGTTGCTGCAAGAGAAAGGGCCAAGGATTTCCCATCAGCACCCATCTATCGGGCACCTACAGTGTGCCAGGCCCTGGAGGGCTGGGAAGAGAAAAACCACCCTGCCCTAGAGGGCACTCCCAGTCTGACCATGCACATGCCTAACAAAACATGAGGAAGAGGTGAGGGGCAGCCATAGAGGCCGGGACCCAGGCCAGTCCCTCTCTTCTCAAGGGAGCTGGAAGGCTTCTTGGAGGAGGTGGTACTGGGCAGGGTCTTGAAAGCTGGGAGCAGAGCATTTCAAAAGCCAAAGGGAAGAGGTAGTCCTAGGGATCCCTGTCCCTCCTACCACCACATTTTAACAGCACCAACTGAATGCCAGGTGCCTTAGCCAGAGAAGACCGATTTTACATGTTCTTCCCCCAACTTAACAATAACTTGGGAAGCCATTTTTGGTTCCCCAAAAAGGAGGGGCTTGGTATGAGCATTCTGCCCATTTTACAGAGGGTAAACTGAGGCCTGGGGAAGCCGGGGAGCTCACCTTAAAGATGTACATGCTCTGCACCACCACAGGCTTCTGGAGGCCCAGACTTCTGACCAAGGCCTGGAAAGGGGCAGAGGTCACACTGCCAGCCTAGCCACACTCACTTTTGGTCTATCCACCCACCCTCGCCCCCACCTCTGCTCACCTGCATCTTGGGGGAGTGTGTGACACGCTTGAAGACAGGGTCATAGGCGTGCAGAGCTGCAGAACAGAGGTGGGCTGATGGGCCAGTCCCTAGCCCCCACACATCCCCCCGATGCCTAGCCCTGGCCACCCAGACTCAGGCCTTGTTCTCACTGATGCTGTGTGCATTAAGCTTTCTGCTTGTTTATAACCAAGGAGTGGGCCCCACAGACAACTTCTCCCCATCATAGGTCCCATTCCACCCATGACCTTATTCTTGACCTTCCGGACATCTGAGAATCACTCCAGCCCTGCCTCCCCACTCCTCAGGACAAAGGGCTCCCAGGGGCCCATCACGCGGTGGCAGTCTCAGTATTGCCACTCACTCTGTGTGACTTCTCTCCTGTAAGCCTCAGTGTGCTCCTCTGCACAAGGGACTAGAAGGACTGCCTGCCTCCCACGCTGCCTCGGACTCACAGGGCAACTCATGCAACCACCTCCCAGGGCCTGCACTCAGTAGTCACTCCTCTCATTACTGGCTGTGTTGTTACAAAAAAATCAGTGTGTGTGTCTCTGAGTGTGAAATGTTATATGTCAATTATACCTCAGTTTTTAAAAAGTGAGGGTTGAGCCCTAACTGGTTGGCTCAGTGGATAGAGCATCAGCCTGCAGACTCAAGGGTCCTAGGTTCGATTCCGGTCAAGGGCATGTACCTTGGTTGTGGGCACATCCCCAGTAGGGAGTATGCAGGAGGCAGCTGATCGATGTTTCTCTCTCACTGATGTTTCTAACTCTCTATCCCTCTCCCTTCCTCTCTGTAAAAAAAATCAGTAAAATATATTTTTTTAAAAAAGTGAGGGTTGAATGTACTTAATGCCACTCAGTTGTACACTTCAAAATTGTTACAATGGTAAAGTTTATGTTATATGTATTTTATGACAATTTTTTTTACAAAACTACAAGGATATAACTTCAAGTTTAAAAGTAAACAGTATAGCCCTGGTCAGGTGACTAAGTTGGTTGGAGCGTTTCATACACCAAAAAGTTTTGGGTTTGATTCCAGGTCAGGGCACATACCTAGGTTGCAGGTTTGATCCCTGGTCAGGGCGCATATGGGAGGCAACGGATTGATGTTTCTCTCTCACATCCATGTTTCTCTCCCTCTCCCCCTTCCTCTCTCTCTCTAAAAATCAATGAAAACATTTTCTCAGGTGAGGATTAAAACAAAACAATAATAAGCAGTCTACAAAACAGATTATAATATATCAGACTGAAACCAAACCAAAACCAAAACACCAGTTTCCTAGCTTGGTTTGGGGTCTCAGAACAGGGACCATGTCAGCAGGTTAGGTGCTCCTTACGGAGACCCCAGGAAGCAGTGGGACCCAGGAGCCCCATGCCCAGGGCCTGGATCATCCCCAGGCCAGGGGAGCTGAGGGGTCTGCCTATGCCCACGTGGGGGGGCCTCTATGGACCCCCCTTCCCAGTGCCACGTGATTAGCATCACAAGGTGCAGAGGAGCAGGGGGCGCTGCTGCCAGAAATGCCACTTGCTGGGCCACTAGCCTACTGCTTGCTTTGGGTAACGCGCCTAAACCCCCCAGGCCTCAGTTTACTCAGGCCCTTTCCCCAAGGTGCCTACTTACCATGGGCAACTTTGTTGATGGCTTTCTCTGGGGGGACCAGGAAATTTCCTGTGGCACAAGGAGCAGGTACAGGCTGAAGAGCTAGAGTCCAGTCTCCCCTGGGTAGTGCCCCCCCCCGCCCTGGGGGCAGATACCCGAGTCCAGTGTACCCCCACCCCTAGGGCCCCAGCTCCGAACCTTTCTTGTCAAAAACGCCTTTCTCAAAGAAGAATCGAATCTTGTCGCCGCTGCTCAAGAAATAGTCTGTGCTGCCCTGTGGAGGGGGGACATCAGAGGGACTGAGCGAGCATCGCGGGTCAGAGGTGGGCCTGGCGAGGAAGGAAGAGGGCGCACATGCTTCCCACCCACAGGGCTAGCGACCCCCCGGTGCTCCTCAAACCTGCCCACCCACCGAGGCAGAAGTGACTGGCAACCCCAAGGGCCTGGGAGCACAGCTGGGAGCTACAAGCATGACATTTCTTGGAAACCTCTTAAGTCACATGACTCAACCTCGATATGGTGTGATTCATAGCAGGCGCTACAGTGGTTCTCAACCTTCTGGCCCTTTAAATAGTTCCTCATGTTGTGACCCAACCATAAAATTATTTTCGTTGCTACTTCATAACTGTCATGTTGCTACTGTTATGAATCGTCATGTAAATATCTGATATGCAGGATGGTCTTAGGCGGCCCCTGTGAAAGGGTCGTTCGACCGCCAAAGGGGTCGCAACCCACAGGTTGAGAACCGCTGCGCTAGAATCAAACAGGCCTGGTGCCCAGATAGCCTGGGGCCACTTGTGTTACCTCTCAGAGCCTCCATTTCCTCATGCAAAGGGGAATAATAACAGAACTGACCTCCAGGGATTGTTGGAGGCTTTAGGGAGAGGCTGAAGCTTACAGCAGGAGAGAGCACAGACCCTGGAGCTAGAATACTTGGGTTTAAATCCCAGCTCTGCCGCTGACTGGCTGTGTGACTATAACCATGTTACTGAACCTCCCTGGGCTTAATTTCCTCCTAAGATACAGTTGCTATTATGGCGCCTATCTCATGGGGGGGGAGGGGGGAGTGTTGTAAGGATCCTGAGCAGGTATATACAAAGCACTAGGACAGTCCTTGGAGTGCCATTAAGTGACATATATCTGCTTTTGTTATTATTACTGCTGCTAAATAGAGAACACGCCACAAGGGCACGGCTACATGCTTGATAAACATGAGCTATTACTATTCTTTTTCTATGATCTTAAGAACCTCTCCCTGTTCATTTTAATATCATGTTTCCAATTTCTTAGCATCATATGAAAATGATATTCCAGAAAGATGTCCCATGCTTTCCTGTGGTGTTAGCCACCCTTGGCCGCCACCTCCCTGCCTTTCTGCACGGCAAAGGAGTGGAGTGGGCTGGCACCAACTTCCACACGTGGGTTCCTGCCACTGCTTTACATGTGTCTCCGTGGCTCAACTTGGTGACCTGTCCCGCCCCTTCAAAGCCTTTCTCACTGAAAAGTAAACGTTTGGTGTGTTGTTGTTTTTTCAACATTCTTAGCTCCTCTGCACCAGGATCAGGGGGAGGGAAACATGTCAGGGAAGCATAACTGATATTAATGATATTGAAGGCAATGATGCTAACTGTGTGAAGGATTTTTACTTAACTCATTCATTCATGAGAATTCCCTGAACCACGCACATGTGGACAATAACAAATGCTGAAATGAATTTACAGATGGATGCAAAGCTGACCTATCTACAGGGCAATAAGTGCAGTCTGCATGACTCTGATCAGTGCAGGGCACGGAATCCTAATTGCATCCTGCCAGACCCAGCTCTTACCCATTTCTATAGACAATTATCTTCTGTGCATCATCATCAGTTCTGTACAACTTAGAGTTGTAAAATAACTCAAAGGCAGTGAGAGGTGCAGGAGGTAAGCTGGGAGGACTGGACAGGGCACCCTCTCATCTTTTATTTTTTTATAGTATGTTTTTATTGATTTCAGAGAGAGAGAGGGAGAGAGAGAGAGAAACATTGATTGGCTGCCTCCTGTACACCTCCTACTGGGGATCAAGCCCACAGCCCGGCATGTGCTCTGACTGGGAATGGAACCAGCGACCTCCTGGTGCACGGATGATGATGCTCAACCAACTGAGCACACTGGCCGGGCTCATCTTTGTTTTAATTTCAAAGTCATTCACAAGATCAGTAGTGAATACTGAGGGTTTACTGAGTCCCAGGCGCTGTGCCGAGCTATTTGCAAGCGTTAAAAGCCAAGATATATGCTCCTCCCGTCCTCCACCCCCGCCCCTCACTGGTCTCTGGAGCATTCTCAGAAGGCAGCTTGGAGAGCACAGGATTTAGCCCCCTCGCTCCTGGGAGCCTTTAATTGACGCTGGACACAGGAACCCCGTCTCTGCTTCCCCCAAGTAGAAGGCTGGAGTGCTGACAAATGAAACCAACCTTTTAGAGGAAATTATCATTCTGTAACCCTTTCCCTCCGCAAGTCCCTGTCCTTGTGTGCATGGCTTCCGTCATTGATTCCCTTTGTGTCCACCAGGTGGCAGCCGCTCCTCAGCATGAGTGTGAGTGAGGCCCGTTAGGGGGCCTGGACTACAGACAGCGCTGGCTTGGGAGCTGGGTAGAGAACTGTGGATGAATTCCCGTCTCAACTTCCCTATCTCAGACTGTGCTGAGTGGTATTAGGTCACTGGAGGGAAACGGGCAGAGTTTCCAGTCTCGCTGGGGGAGAAGCCCTACACAGGCGGGCACATCCTCATTTTGGTCCCTGGCCACCAGGAGGCCCTTGGAGACCAGAGAACTACTGAGGAAGAGGGCAGAGCAGTGAATTGCATGGATTTGGTATCAGACAGACCTGGGTTAAAATCCCGTGGTTTGGGCCAAGCCTCATTCTTCCCACCTGTCAAATGGGGACAATAATGCTGACCTTATACATTCATCCTGAGGCACGGAGGAACTATGCATAGAGGACACTGAGCCTGGAGCCTGGCACATGGAAGGCTGGGGCCTGATTTGTTTTCAGAATGAGCCGAGGGCCTCCGGGCTGAGCCCCCATCAAAGACCAGATGGCATCTTCACCTGCCCCAGGCACCTACCTGCATTCGCAGCTGCTCGTCCCCCTGGGTGGAAAACTCTGTGCGGCAGTGGAGCGGGACCTCCATCTCGGCCACGATCTCACCGATCCTCCGCTGCATGGCCACACACTCGTCTGCAGACAGGAACCCTTCCAGCACCAGGAACCCATCCTCCTGGAACTACAGGCAGGAGGGGCTCAGGCTGCCCCGCCCTCAGACATCCTTTACGCGAGCTGATTGGACCTCTCCCCCCAACTGTGTGAAGGCAGGACCGGTGTCCTGTCCATTGCTCTGGTCCCCACCCTGGCCCCCCGTGAGGAGCAATCCATATTGGCTGGAATGGCCCCGCTGGTGTAGCTCAGCTGTTGAGCGTTGACCCATGAACAAAAGGTCACAGGTTTGATTCCCAGTCAGGGCACATGCCCGGGTTGTGGGCTCGATCCCCAGTGGGGGGCATGCAGGAGGCAACTGATCGATGTTTCTCTCTCATCGATGTTTCTCTCTCTCTCTTTCCCTCTCCCTTCGATGATGGAAGGAGGAAGGGAAAGGCAAGGTGTCCCCCTTCCCCGTCCAGTGGTCCAGTGAGCTTGGATCACAGGGGAATATAACCTCATTCATTTATCGGACTAAAACTGATTGAGCACATACTGTGTACCAAACACGGTTTTAGTAGCTGGAGATTCAGTAACAAGAAACCAGCCAGGATGCCTGCCTTCCCGGAGCTGCCAGTCAAGCCGAGGAGGCTGATGGGAACAAGCCGCACACAGGGGAAGAGATGTCACAAACTGCTGAGTGCAAGGAGGAAGAGGGCAGTTCTAGAACTAAAGGAAGGAGCGTCTAATGTAAACCAGATGGGGAGGACGGGAGGTCTCGGGGCAGCAGCCCTGCGGAAGTGACATTTAAAGGGACCGGCAGGATAATGGGAGTGGAAGAGACAGGGAGGAGCACTCCAGGGAAGGGAGCGGGATGTGTGAAACCCTGAGCACGAGAGAAACACAGAAACGTGAGGAATGGGGACCTGATGGTGCCGAGTGAGGGGAGGGTTGGAAGGGAGGCGGGAGGACGGCAGGGGCCAGGCCACGCAAGGAGCTGGGCTTTGGCATGAGTGCAGTTGGGCACTGAAACCCTTGGCTTGCTCTGATTTGCCTCCAGTCCCCTTATTCTGAGGCTATTGAGGTAGGAAAGACCATCTGCTCGTTTGCTGGCAGATAGGAAGCCGTAACCTGAACAGGGGCATTGGAAGTCACCTCCTGACCCCTGTGAAGTGTCCGATTCCCAGTTACTGACCCCTATTCCCTCCTCCACGGATGCTCAGTTCTGCCTTCCATGCACAACAGGGCTTTGGGACATTTGTGCCCACCCACCACGGGCCCTTCCGTCTCTGGGCAGCTCTGCATGATAGAAACTTAATCCTCATCGCAGAATCAAGCCGAAAACTACCCCCTGGGAACTGGGGGGGTATTGTGCATACCCGTGATCCGGTAAACACAGTGCTAGCATTCTTGAGATAAGAAGTTGGAGGGCCCTGGCTGGGTGGTTCAGTTGGTTGGAGCAAAATACACCAAAAGATTGTGGGTTCAATTCCCAGAGCGGGCACATACCTAGGTTGCAGGTTCAATCCCTGGTCAAGGCAAGTTTGGGAGGCAACCAATTGATGTTTCTCTCTCTCTCTCTCTCTCTCTCTCTCTCTCTCTCTCTGCTTTCCTCTCTCTAAACATATTCTTGAGTGAGAATTTAAAATAAATAAATAAGCCGAAACCGGTTTGGCTCAGTGGATAGAGCGTCGGCCTTCGGACTGAAGGGTCCCAGGTTTGATTCCGGTCAAGGGCATGTACCTGGGTTGCGGGCACATCCCCAGTAGGAGATGTGCAGGAGGCAGCTGATCGCTGTTTCTCTCTCATCGATGTTTCTAACTCTCTATCCCTCTCCCTTCCTCTCTGTAAAAAATCAATAAAATATATTAAATAAATAAATAAATAAATAAATAAAAAGAAGATTAGCAAATAGGGGAGCAAAGATGAATGTGTGGGGTGTTCACTGAGACTCAGTGAGAGCAATGAATCAGAAATAACCTAAATGCTCAGCACAAAGGGATTTGTTCAACAAAGTACGGGCGGTCTGTCTGGAACATAGCACGTGGTAGAAAAATACTTACTGACATGGAAATATGTTCCTGATGGGGGAAAAAAAAAGCCAAATGCAAACGAGTATCCTAGCCACTGTGAGAACTTGGGCAACATGGCAAGGGCTCAATAAGCAATAATTCATAGCTATCAGGATGGACCTTATAAAGATTCTACGGCTGTATACCAAAGTATTGTGTCAGCGTAAGAATTGGTGGGGGGTTCTACATTTTCTTTTTGAGCCCTTCTGTGTCTTTCTGCACTTTTCTCTTGTCATCAGGAACAAACAACAAGGGTCGTGTTATTTAAAAGACCGTGTCTCTCTAATTCCCATGAGGTAGGCTTTTGCGTTTAAAGTACATTGGACCCTGGCACCCAGGCATGGCTCTGAGACAATCACCCCGGCCGGCCCCGCCCCTGAATCGCAGGCCCAGATCTGGGCGGGCAGGGACTGGCTGATCCCGGCGCCTTATTATGGGTTTCGGTCCCATATGTACACATTCCCATCCCACCCTGGGCCTGTGGTCTGGATGCCCAGGCTTTGCGGACAGAAGTTAAGAGATCATGGGGGGAATCGACCACTCTGCTTTCAGTTTCCTCTGTTGAAAACTGGCAGGAGATGGGGTTGTTTTCGGAACTGGGAGCACTTTCCGATCAGTCCAGAGGGTCTTCCTACTCTTACCCAATCCTCCCTGCCCCCACCCTGCAGGCCCCTACCTTCTGGAGCTGCGCGGGGTTCAGGCAGGCCATGGGGATGAGGCGGAGTGGTCTGGTGGTCAGTGGTCGGGTGGCTCTAGGCTCTCAGCACTGGTGCTGGGCCCCGCCCAAGGTGGAAGAGGAAAAAGGTCAGGAGGGGAGAGTGCATAGAGCCTGGGAGGCCCGGAAGGACTTAACTATTCCCTACCCAGAGAAAACTCAATCCCTGCCCCACCTCCACCCCAGACCAGCCTGGGCCTAAATCCCAGTTTTTTCAGGCTCCCTCTGACTTCTGTGCCCAGAGGGGTCCTTGCCTCCGCCCCAGCCACACCCTGGATCCCTCTTCCCAGCTAATCCAGGATTAACCCTTTCTGATCTCCTTCAAGGTTTTTCCTGCCCCTCCACCCCCACCCCCTCTCTGGGGCTGGCTGCTTACAGGTGCCCAGAAGTTGAATTTAAGAGGGATCTAGGAGGAGCGAGGAGCGAGCGAGCAGGGGCTGGTCGGCGCAGCAGCGCAGCAATGCCTGTCAAAGGAACTTGTTTCTTCAAGCTCTTCTGGCAGCGATTCTGACGGTGAAGTTGACAAAAAGTTAAAGAGGAAAAAGCAAGTTGCTTCAGAAAAGCCTGTAAAGAAGCAAAAGACTGGTGAGACGTCAAGAGCCCTGTCATCAACAGAGCAGCTAGCAGCAGGGATGACATGTTCCAGATCGGGAAGATGAGGTACGTCAGCGTACGGGACTTTAAAGGAAAAGTCCTAATTAGTATTAGAGGATATTGGATGGATCCAGAAGGTGAAATGAAACCAGGAAGAAAAGGTATTTCCTTAAACCCGGAGCAATGGAGCCAGCTGAAGGAACAGATTTCTGACATTGACAATGCAGTGAGAAAACCGTGAAATCTGAGCCATATAAACCTGTACTGTCCTAGTTGTTTTAACCTGTCTTCTTACATTGGCTTTGTTTTTTAAATGTTGTTTTCCAGGCTATTGTATATTTCAATTGCAGAACAATTTGTAAGAATACTTTTTTTTTTTAAATGTGCATTATTAAAAATGTTCTGAGTGGCCCTGACCGGTTTGGCTCAGTGGATAGAGTGTCGGCCTGCGGACTGAAGGGTCCCAGGTTCGATTCCGGTCAAGGGCATGTACCTTGGTTGCGGGCACATCCCCAGTGGGGAGTGTGCAGGAGGCAGCTGATCGATATTTCTAACTCTCTATCCCTCTCCCTTCCTCTCTGTAAAAAATCAATAAAATATATTAAAATTTTAAAAAATAATAAAAACATAAAAATGTTCTGAGTGAAGCTAATTGTCAACTTTATTAAGGGGGTTGCTTTGTTATACCAATGCATACTTGATTGATAACTTTCCCCTTTTTTAGAAACATGTCCTGTTAACTTGATTGGGTAGATTTGAAAACTATTCCTTATATATACAGAAAGGGTAGTTAGAACACAGAACTTTGATTTTGGTGTAGAAGGAGAGGGGACATTGTTGACTTCCCTAGGTTTACAGGAATTTAAGGGGTGTGTGCATTTTGAAACAACCTGCCAATAGAGAGATGGTGCTGGAATCTGTTAGTACCCAGGCATTTTCCAGCTGTTTAGTGCACGTTGTTAAACCTTCATATAAGGAGGGCTTCTCTGGCAGAATTTGGTAAGTCGACTGCTAAATTCATTTAAATAATGCTACTGGATATGCAGTACATAGAAATTATTAATCTTTTTTTCTGGGTGTGTGTGTGTGTAGGAAAGGATGAGAGCTGGGTTAAAATAAGAGCCAAATTAACTCCTATTGAAAGAAAGGGTACTTTTGTTTCTGTTTAAACTTTATCTTTTTGGTAAGATCACTCAGAAGGAAAGCTTGGCATTTGGGGCAGCCGTTTCTTGCCGTGTGATGCCAACATGGACTTACCACCACCGGCCCCGGCATGTGCTCAGCAGAGGGCTTTCTCGTGGGGTTTTACTCTGTCTTTTACATACAAGTAGCATGTGACCAGTTTCCAATGCTCTTGGCATTTTATGAAAAGGACCACCACTAAACAAGAAAAACTGCATATAATTTGATTATTCTCTTTTGTTTTGCTTCATAAATGCTTAAGAACGTCTTTTGAAGACTGTTCCTACCTCATTAGCTAGTCAAGATCCGGTGATGATCAACCTATTCTCCAGAATATTTTTGGAAAAAAGATTATGAAAATAAAAAGTATATACATCTTGGCTTTGGCTATTGAGGGGAAAAGAAAAATAATTGAGAATTAAGTGTTCCTGATGACATGGGTATGTTGAAAGAGTACTGTGAAAGTCTGAAATAGTCAAAAAGTGCTGGCTAATATTTAGGTATTTCTCTTGATAGTCTGATACTCACTTTTTATGGAAATGCAGTGAAACACTCAAAAGTTTTTTTGTGTGTGAGTGTGTGTTTTTTAAAATATATTTTATTGATTTCTTACAGAGAGGAAGGGAGAGGGATAGAGAGTTAGAAACATCGATGAGAGAGAAACATCGATTCAGCTGCCTCCTGCACAACCCCCTACTGGGGATGTACCGGCAACCAAGATACATGCCCTTGGCCGGAATCGAACCTGGGACCCTTTGTCCGCAGGCCGACGCTCTATCCTCTGAGCCAAACGGGTTAGGGCTGTGTGTGTTTTTGTTTGTTTGTTTTTTAGTAGTGGTTTTCCAGACAAATTCTAGGAGTAAAATCTTTACACAGTCACAAACATGTACTTCGGTAACTGTGGAATACCTGTATGCTTTGTTGGGTACATCTTCCATGGAGAGGCCAATGAATATACTACTACATCTGTGAATATTTTAAATGTTGAAATAAAAAAATAAGAAACGTGAAAAAAAAAAAAGAGGTATCTAGGCAAAAAAGTTGGGCAGACAAGAGGACACCTGAGGGCGGGCCCAGGTGCCACCACTAATTGTGACCCAAGTCCCCAGGACCACCAGCCTCATCTGGGGAGGGAGGGTGGAGGCCTGGGGGACGTGCACGCCAGACTGGCCCTGGCTGGCTTCGCATCCCAAGGTGGAAGGTGGGAGAGGTCTCTCCAGGGAATTGTCTGGGTCCCTCCCAGCTTGAGACTCCAGCTCCTGGGGGGTTTATGGAAGGGAGTGTGTAGATGTGTCTGCAGCTAACAGGACGGTAAAAGATAAGGGGGAATCTTAGAAGGAGGAAGAGGTAGCCCAGCTGGCTGGCATGCCTCAGGGGTTGAGCATAGAACTATGAACCAGGAGGTCATGGTTAGATTCCCGGTCAGGGTACATGCCTGGGTTGCGGGCTTGATCCCCAGTGGGGGCTGTGCAGGAGGCAGCTGATCCATTACTCTCATCATTGATGTTTCTATCTTTCTCTCCCTCCTCTCCCTCTCTTAAAAAATATATATATATATATATATATATATATTTTTTTTTAAAGGAGGAAGAGGCTGGAGAGTGGGTGCCTGGGTCTTCAGAATGAGGGAGAGCCCGGTTCCGGTTCCCCACCTCCAGGCCCAAGGAGCTTGGTGTCTCAAGCTAGGCTGGCACAGTGGAGGCCAGGGGTGGGAACAGCATGCCCACCCACCCTTCTACCAGCCCTGCTCAGCCGCACACAGGGCCGTTCTGGCTGCGGCTTCTGAAAAACCGGCCACTGGCCTTCCCTGAAGTGATGCTTTCTGAATGGCGAAGGGACAGAGTGGCTCGGGGGTGAGTGCAGACACAGCTCGGCCCTCAGGAGCCCTGGCCGAGTCAAATTTTGTTTCCTGGGCCACCGCACTGGGAGCAGCTGCGTGGTCCCAGGCTCCCTAGGAGGGCGGGGGAGGGTAAGCCCCTCTGAGCTCCTGGGGCTGGAAGGACAAGAGGTTCGCAGGGTTAGGCTGGGAGGGGAGGGGAGGTGGCCAAACCCTATGGGAGATACAGCTGGGACTCAGCTCACTGGCTAGCCTGGCCCCTTTGATGCAGCCACCCAGCGGATAGAGACATGTGCCAGGAGTGCAGTGAGGGCCACCGTGAGGCCACCGTGAGGGACTGAGAGCTCCCATGGGAACCTCAGAGCAACCTGGGCTCCATCCACGCCTGGCCTTACTTTCCCCATCTGTAATTTGGGGATAACAAGAAGTCCCTCTCTTGTAGGGGGGACGACGGATACTTTACCGCTAATAGAGCTTGGCACGGGCCTGGCACCTAGTAAATGCCTACAAATGCCTACCAGCTATTCCCCAAAGGCTAGCGGGGCTGTTCTGGGTAGAATGTGGGGCATTTTTATTTTATTTTTTGAATTTCCCCCAAATTTTCCAAACTGCTATTGCAATCAGAGAAAAAACAACCACTGGGTTTTAAATGGAGAATCCTGTCGGGCAGGGGGAGGGGGGAGGGGGGAGGGGGGAGGGGGAGGAACTGGGTCTCCTAAGATTTGTTCATTTATTCTGCTGTTTTTTGTTTGTTTTTTTTTAATTTAAAAAAATTTTTTAAATCTATTTTTATTGATTTCAGAGAGGAAGGAAGAGGGAGAGAGAGACAGAAACATCAATGATGAGAGAGAATCACCGATCGGCTGCCTCCTGCCCACCCTCCAACTGGGATCGAGCCCGCAACCCGGGTCTGTGCCCTTGACCGGAATTGAACCTGGGACCCTTCAATCCACAGGCCGACGCTCTATCCACGGAGCCAAACCAGCTAGGGCCCGCTCAGGTTTTGAGCAGCGGGTGGGTGGTGTTTGTTTTCTCCAAAAGCTAACCAGCTCCAGATCAAACACTCCTGCTCTGGACACTGGGCGGCCCTTACGATTGCGGAGCGGGGGCGGGCGGGGGGGGGGGGGGCGGGATGACGACGACGACGACCACGACCACGACGACGACCACGACGACTGGCATGGGAAGGTAGGGAGTGGCCAGACCAGAAGAGGGAAAGACCCTCCACTTCCCAGTGGAGGTAGAGAACTCAGGTGGGGACCCTAGAGGGGACTCAGGCCCAAGCTGCTCAGCCTACCAGTCAGAACAGCCCATGTCGGGGACAGAAAAGAAAAGAAAAAGTCCTGGCTCAATCCTGAAGTCCCTGGGGGGGGGGGGGG